CACTGATCAAAAGAGAAAATGCAGTATATCAGAATTGTATGACAAGTTAGAGTCGTATTTGCGTTCGTTGGAGTCAATAGGAATGACAAGCGATAAATACGCTGCAATGCTGTTTCCGCTCGTGGAATCTTGCATTCCGAGGAAATTTTACGAGTTTGGATTAGAAATTATGCATCAATAATTACAGCAGAAAATTCTCACTCTGAGAAATTGAAACAATTATTATTGTTTTTAAAAGAATGAAGTGGAAGGAGAGCAGAGAATTTCTTTGGCAAAAGCTGGATTTAAATTAATTGATTTGGGTGCCAAGAAAGAAAGTAGAAAAAATAAAAAGGTACCAGAGTGAACATTTCGTGCCTACAGCAAATGATTTATTCTCAGGTCAAAATAAAGCAACGAATTATAGTGAGAAGAATTCTTGCATATTTTGTGAAAAATTTCATGAAATTTGAGATTGCTTTGTTGCTCAGAAGATGCCTCTGAGTCAAAAGAATGATGAAATTAAGAAAAAGAAGAGGAAACACAAAATGTATCACTTGCGAGCACTAATTTCCTAGATGAAGTGTTTCTTCAAACACTATTAATTAATATAGACGCAAACAAAAAGCAGAAGACAGGTAAGAGCACTTATCGATACAGGATCGCAACGTTCATCAATTAAAGGAGACTGTGTGTAGACATAGGGTGCCACGCAATTGGATCTGAATCTTTAATCCATGCCACTTTTTGGAGGAGTAACAACAAAGAGAGAAATTCACAAACAAACGCTATGAAGTGAACGTTAGAAGCCTAAGAGGTGATTTTTCTAGACGACTAATCTTGTTGGAACAGTCGAAGATTTGTGGACCAGTAGTCAGTTTACAGCCTGGACCATGGATAGAAGAACTAAGACAGAAGAATATCCATGCATCTAATGTAGGAAAAAAGGATTTGAAAATAGAAGTTCTTATTGGAGCTGACGTCGCAGGTGTTCTGTTAACCGGAAGAATTCAGAAATTAGAAAATCACTACTTGGATGGACAATCATGGGAAAGATAAAAGATAACGTTTCAGAAAGAAACTCCTTGTCCATGTCTTCAACCATAACGTCGATGTTGACTCACAGCAGTAACATAGAAAACTTGTGGAAGCTAGAAGCACTGGGAATTACAGATGCCAAAGAAAGTAAAACTGACTCAGAGTTAGAAGAAGCAGTGTGGGATCACTTTCACAAGACTCTGAAGAGGGTGGATGATCGCTATGAAGTCAGTTTACCTTGGATCAACGATAAAGAAGCTTTACCAAGTAACAGAGAAGTTGCTGAAAAGCGATTGATTTCCACGACAAAGAAGCTCATGTTGAAAGATAAATTTGAAACATACAATGCAGTGTTCGAAGAATGGCTCGAATCTGGAGTAATAGAAGAAGTAACAGAAGAAGAGGAACGAGTTAACAATCATTATCTTCCCCACAGACCGGTCTTCAAAGATAACTGTACAACAGCAGTAAGGCCTGTATTTGACGCTTCGTGCAAGCAAAAGGATTTCCTGTCACTTAATTAACTCAACTCAGTTAATGGCAAGTGCTAACTTTGACTTAAGAGGGTGGGAGGAAACAGAACTGAACCAGTGGAAAACTAAAAATCTACAATGAGTGAACCATTGAAAGTACTTGGTCTTCTGTGGGATAAATATGAAGATTCTTTGTTTGTGACATCCCTAATATCAACTTGATGATCTCTCAGTGACAAGACGAAACGTTACTATCAGTTGTACAGAGAGTTTTTGACCCAATAGGTTTCACATGCCCTTTTACTCTCCTTCCAAAGTTATACTTGCAAAAGAGCTGGGAAAACTAAATTGAGCTGGGATGCAGAGCTACCTGAAGATATAAAAAGAAAATTCTTGAAGTGGGTCAAAGAATTGCCCTTGTTATCCTCTGTGAAGATTCCCAGACTACTTTCATTGACAGAAGGACAATCTTTTAGTTTGCATACGTTTGCCGATGCTTCACACAGGGATCTTATGCAAGTGCAGTATATTTGAGAAGTCAAAATAAGAAGTCAAAGTGACCCTAGTGCAAGCCAAAGCACGAGTGGCTCCCTTGAAAAAAATAAGTATACCACGACTTGAATTGCTTGCTTGTCTTATTGGGGTGCGATTAGCATCATTTTGTCAAGAAGAACCTTAAGGTCGAAATTTCAAAGGAATATTACTGGACCGATTCGTCAACAGCACTGTTCTGGATAAAGAACATAGAAGTTTGGAGCACTTTTGTGAATCACAGAGTTTCAGAAATTAGAATCCTATTGAATCGTGAAAAGTGGCATCGTGTACCAAGTGTGGAAAAAACCAGCCGATATGCCATCAAGGAGATGTTCTGAGAAGAAACTCATTGAATCAAGATGGTGGGAGGGCCCACCTTGGTTGGCACTGCCGGAAGAAGAATGGCCTTGTTCTATCCCAATCGATAATAAAGAAGAAATTAATACTGAAAAACGTAAAGCAGTTATAGTTTCGTTAAGCAATGTTAGCGATATGTCTTTACAATTCTTTGGCCATTTTTCAAAGTATAAGAAAATATTTAGAATGATTGGGTGGATACACAGATTCATAGGAAATACCCGAAAGAAGAAAGAGAATCAGGAGAGTTAAAAGTTTATGAATTGATAAGGGCTGAGAAATCTATCGTGAAGATTATTCAACATGATTCTTTTTCATCTGATGATATTAAGAAGCTGAAGTCAATAAGTGTGTTCAAAGATGACGAAGGCATTTTACGTGTCAGGTCTAGGTTGACTGAAAGGAAAGACCATGAAAATTTTATTTATCCGATGTTACTTCCGAAGAATCATAAGATTGTGGAGAAATTGATAATTGATAAACATCTCTCTATGTCTCATGCAGGAATTCACGTACTGATGTCAACACTTAGAGAGACGTTTTGGATCCTGAAAAGTAGAGCTACGATTCGAAAAGCTTTATATGCATGTGTCAGGTGCAGGAGACATGGAGGTAAACGACTACAGACTGTACCTGCTACTCTACCAGAAAACAGAGTTAGAGAGGCTCGTGTTTTCGAGATTGTCGGCGTTGATTTAGCTGAACCATTAATTTTGAAGGATAAAAGAAAAGCTTGGATTTTACTTTTCACATGTGCTGTTTTCATGTCGGTCCATTTGGAACTGATTTTGTCCCTTTCAACTCAAGGGTTTTTACTTGCTCTTAGAAGATTTATTACTCGTAGAGGAAGGCCATCGATAATTTATACCGATATGGGAAGCAACTTTGTCGGATCCAATAATCTCTTGAGATCGATTAATTGTAATACCATTGAGATAGAAGCCGCCACAAACAAGATGAATTGGAAGTTCAGTCCACCCGCAGCACAATGGTGTGGCGGCTTTTGGGAACGACTTGTTCAAATGATTAAGAAGCTTTTGCGTCGATTCCTAGGCCAGTCATGTCTGAATTATGAAGAATTGATGAGTGTGCTGTGCGACTGTGAAGCAACCGTGAATGCCAGACCACTCACTTATATGTCAGAGGACTCAGATGCTCTCGTCCCTTTGACACCATCCTTGATTTTAGGTGAAATTCCAGTCTTTGGAGTTCCTGACTTGGATCATCTTGATAAAGTTGATTTCAAACAAGAGACTGAGACTTTTACAGAATTACGAGAGCTCTTGAGAAAGAGATTTAGAAATGAATATCTCGGCCTGCTAGTGCAACGTCCATCTACAGTGCCGATTTCTCAACAGATAAAAATCGGTGATATAGTTCTTATCGAATGTGATGACAAACGCAAGGTGTTGTGGCCTCTAGCAAAAAGTAATTGAACTATATCCCGGAAAGACGGCAACATTCGAGTAGTTCGTGTCAAAACCATGTTGGAGAATTAGTTCGACCAATCCAGAGAATATTCCCTCTCGAAATACCTTCATCTTTGAGGTCAGATGAGGCAAATGAAACTGAGGACGCAGGGTGAAGACAGTTTAGTCTCAAAATTACCAAAGAAATAATTCAGCTGCGATTTATCAAAGGACATTAAGACTGTCGTGACTAGAAGTGGACGACAAAAAAATTCCATCTAGATTTCTAACCTGAACACTACTTGAGTTATTTTTAGAGTAGAAATTTAAGAACTTAATTTTTTCTTTGTTTAATATTTAGCCTTAATATTTGTATGGACAGTATTTTTTATTATATTTTGTTTTGATGATTAAGTATATGTCATCAATCAAAAGGTGGGAGTATTGTTAGAACCCAGCCTCAGTTGTTATTTTTCTTTTCATAGTTTCACTGTAAGAGTGGCAACCATCTGATCTTTGTTGTTGTAGTTTGTTGCAGTTCTATGGATTTTGAAAATAATATGACGCTGTAGAATTTTATATGTAAAGTTATTTTATTTTAAGTTTATTAGGAGAAAGGAGAACGGTTAGTTCTTGCTAATCTCTAACATCCCCCGTCTTTTCTTCCTTCCTTTTTTCTTTGTCCTGTTTAGGATGTGTGCTCGAATTTGTGAAGTAACGAAAGGCGTATTTATCATCCCTAATCCTAGAGCCCTGCATGCATCGATTTATTTTTTTAGACAATTTCTGCACTTTTATATTGCACGAAAGATTAATCAAAATGAAAATAGCTGTATACAAGATGTAATTAATTCGTACATACACGAAAATCTGAGATAAATAATATGGGCATTTGATATACATCATGATAACAGGTAATTAAACGTCATTTCAGTGTTGCACATTTTATTATGGGCGATGGTTTGAAACACATTTCGAAATTTTTATGCATTTGGAAAATGTTATCTCGTTTCCTTTTATTTTAACTGTCTGAGCTTGAAGAATCTTAGTCTTGCTTCAAGAAATATAACAATTTTGTTTAGTACAAAAGCTTTCCTCCCCCTCCCCATATCGTTCTTGAAAAAAATTCGCATAATGTTTACTCAGGAAACGGTAAAAATCGTGTTATAAATGATGTATTTCAAATAATAATTCAAAATTAAACATAACCTCAGTAAATATCAGCCTGGAAATTAGAAATTCGTTCATTTTAAAGCTCTATCTAGACCAGATCTTCTTAGACTTTTTTCAATCACGACCTATTTTTATCACTGGGATGTTTTTAGCGACCCCAGGACCCCATAATATTTATGAAAATTTTGTGGGACACCATAAGCATTGCTCTAATCCGGCATGAGTGAAACTGTCAATTTTTTCACTTGTTACTGTAATATACTATTCCAATTTTAGGTCATTAACTTTAATTTCTAATTTTAAGACATAGACCAATGTGAAAATTTTAAATAAGTAACAAACGAAAGACACAGTCCGGAAAAGCAATTAAATGAATTATAACATAAAAACATGCGCCCGAAAAACGTTTTCGTTTTTTCTTTGTCTGTATTGCGTATTTTATCTATTTTCAGATTACTGTGTAAAGTATTTTTAATTGAAAATTATTATAATAAGTTGAAGAAATATCAAAACTGCTAAAATTTTTGCCGACACTCCACAGTTTAAGAAACTCTGATCTAGACAATCGTGCAAACAAAGAGGAACATAAATTATCACAGGAATGAACTAATTTCAGGATTTCAAAAACAGATACTTTTCATTATATTTAAGCCTCCATTCTATATAAAAATTGCATGTTACCTTAATTAACACCATATTTTATGCTGACTGTAATTGAGAGCGCTCTAGAATCCACGGCAATGGAGAATTATTGGATAAAAAACGTTTTGTACTCTCATGGTCAAATTGTTGCGTTCTGGAAACATCTTCTTGAAATTAATATGAATATGAAATATAAATTTTATTGTGGTGTAGTGTAATTTGTTTAATGTGATGACGATAAGAAAAATCTTTGGACAGTCAACCGTTCGAAAAGCTTCACAAAGTTACCTCGGGGAAAAGGTGCTGGAACCTTTATGAATATTGGCCTTTTTATACATGTTCAAAAAGACAGGTTAAATATTAGACTTAGTATGCGTATTTATTTCATGCGGGAGTTTTCAGACTGGTCCAAAAGGATGTCTCAGCATAAAGGTGCCAATACTTTTATAAAGACCAGTTTGGAATTTGAAAAAAGCAATCTTCAGTATAATTGCGGACACTCTTTTAACCGAAGCATCAGAATGCAAGTAAGGTTTTAGTTCCCCCCCCCCTTTTTCAGATAATGCAGCAGACAAAAATCCCAATGATAGAACCAGTAGGTATCTATAAAGGTAACGGTACACTTATCAAAGCTGTTTTTTTTTTTTTTTTCAAATCAGAAACAAATTTGCACTAGGATGCAGGAGGCACATTTATGCCAAGGCACCATCATGAAGGTTTCGGAACAATGGTGGACTTGCATAAGTAAAACTGTGATAGGCTATTATGAGGCATCCCGAATTACTTCAAACCAAAACCTATTCAGATTCTTAATAGCTTCATTTTCGGCCATACTTTAACGCAAAAGGCCGCCATTGTGTAAGACAAAATGCCTACACCTAATTGTATGAAAAAACTGCAGTTTTTTTTATGAATCAATTAATCAATACAATAAAAAACTCGATGATTCGAAAAGAAAATATTGCGGTGTCATGTAATTTGTTTAATGTGATGAGGATAAGAAAAATCTTCGGACAATCATAATTAGTAATTCGTAATTCATCCTTAGTAAACCATAAAACGGTCATTTTTTTTTTTTTTTTTATTTCCTAACGCATTATTTTCTTACTTCATTTAATCGATATATGATAGTCTAACAACAAAGATAATATTAGTTAAATGGCAGAACATCAAAGTTATTTTCATTAGCTTGCTTATTATGTTTATAGCACCAGATGGCGTCTGGAAGCATTCGCCTCTTAACAACCCCTCTATTTTCAAGATTATTACCTGTTTTGCTTTAGTAATAGTTTGCAACAATTATTTGTCGCCAACTATTTCTTTTTTCCTTTTTCAGGATTGATATCAGCGAGGAAAAGGAAGATTTTATGATAAAGCAAATTTACGACAATAATCAGAACAAGGTCACAAGGCTACTGAAGATAATCAACATTTCATTTCGTTGCATTAAACATACACATTAGTGAATCTTTATAGTATTTTTAGTCTATTCATAGCATTTTTCTTTCATACCACGTACATTAAGATGCAAATCACTCTTTCTACAGTTCCGTAATGAGTTGCAAATCTTCTTGTAAATGATAGAAAGAAAGAAGGGGAAGAAAAAGTAGCTGAATACTAGGCAGTAGGCATTTGTTATTTGATATCAGTAGTTTCTTCCTTCTCTTTATACTTTTCGGTACTCGATTTATAGGCTCTTGATATCACGAATTTTTACGCAATGCGAAAAGCCATACGTAACATCTAACACTGGTAAATGGTAATGATTTTAAAAAGAACCGTAGTCTTTTCGGGCCATAAAATTAACATCTGCTAAAATACTCCTGTTGAAAAAGTTGACGTAATATACTTACAACTCAGTTTTCTTTGAAATATAAAGAATGTTTTATTCATCCGTCAGAAAATGTAAACATCCATCAGAAAACAAACATTCGTTCCAGACATTCCAGGAAGCATTGGGAGACTTCTTTGGTATTGTCATAAAACTGGCCGTCGTGTCGTTTTTGATAATTTAAATTATCTTAAAATATTGATCTTGTAGTTTGATTGAGTGTAAGACGGAAAACGGGAGTCCGAGGTTCAGGAATGGGGTAAATAAGACGGTTGGGGCATGACAAGATTCTTCTTTCCGATCAAAGAAAAGCAAGCTTCTTGCTTAAAATATGATAATGCGCCGAATGGCTGAAAGATGAGTTCACTCTGTTAGCATCACAGCACAAAATGGGTTGTGTCCCGGTTGGTGTCCCTTTACATATTTCTGCTACTCAGATCACATCCAAACTAGCCAGAGACTAAGAAAGACCAACGAGCAAATAGTATGTACGCTGTGATCAGGGCCGGATTAAGACCTTCAGAGGCCCTAAATAATTAAAAGGTCTTGTTGCCCCCAAATGTATTCACGCCAATTTTTTCTTTATTCCTTCTCTCTCTCTCAGCTTTGGTTAGCTGCATATATTCCATGGTTAAAACCGGCAATGTAAAACATTTTAGCGCCTTTTTTTCCTGAATACCAAAGGACATTTTTGAGGTACCCCCTTTCCTGAATGCCTAAGCAGGTGCACATATTATTCAGCACAGTACTTAATTCAATTGCAAATAATCTGGAACATATAAACACTTTTAAATCATCCCTTAAAAATAAACTCATGAATTTGAAAAGCATATTAAGTACACAATAATCTTCTGTTTCCCGAAATACAAAATAATATGAATAAGTATTTTTGTTCCTGTTTTGAATGCTGATTTAATATGCATAACCAAATGAATTTATTCTCAAAATTAAAAAACAGCTTTAAAAATACTCACACTTATTTATCTGTAAATTAAAATGTTGGTCAGTCTTCTTTCCTGCATTTTTGTAACTGCTGTTGGATTAACCGTGATATTGGCTTAACTGTGAACTTATTTTGGGTTAACTGTATACTGTATTTTATAAATAGTGTTGCAGAGCTCCCAGCAATACATGTATTTCAGTAAATTCCAAGTAATACATTTTGTCTTCATTAGCATTT